AAAAAATCTGACTACACTGCACAATTAATCTCTTACACTGTGTCATAAACCACGCTAGACTTGCACTTATCACACACTGCATCTTTGTTGTTTATGATGAATTCGGTGCTTGCACGTACACCGCTTTTATTATTATTGCAGCTTAGATGTTCAAATAGCTGCAGTACTCCGACTTTGCCACAAGGAAACGTGCGTACGCCTGCTCAGACCCTGACGTGACATTAAGTACTTTTCCACGTCAAAGACCGTTTTTATAAATATGAACGTTGCCGTGGATTCACATTTTATAAATGAGGCCCCAGATCAGTAGATTAGAATGCTTTCGGACGGATCATGTGACACTGAAGACTGGAGTAATGATTGCTGAAAATTCATGACAATTGACAATTTTCTGTTTAAGACAGAAAACGGTTATTTCAAACTAATAATATTTCACAACATTACTATTTCAGCCGTATTTTTTTTTTATCATACTTCTGGGCGTACTTCACTGAGCATGCTACTTTTTTTCTTTTTCTTTTTTAACAACCGTTTATTGAATTTTCTTCTGGGAATAGTAATATACAACAAAAAGCAATTGTGCAAATTGCATACTTCTTACAAAAACATCAAAAATCTTACCGACCCCCAAATTTCGAACTGCAGTGAATGTTAGAGGCATAAACACTTTTTTCCGTAAATTTATTATGCATTTGTGATGACAAAATTCAAATATACAAAATGTTACAAAATGCAAACGTAAATTACAAAAATATAACATTTATCTAAGAGTTGTATTTGTGTCTCTTTGTACATTAGTGGGTAATTAAGCATGACAACCAATGAAATGCGTGTTTAAACCTTATTGTCTGACTCAAATACAGTGTACATGTTGATAGGTGAATCCCAGTTCAAGTATTTATGCACTATTCCAAACCGTTTTTTTTGTATAAATAGTGTGATTAGTGTGTTCACACTGATGTTTTGTTACATTACATATATATTGTGTTTTATTGCTGTTTTACATCTCAAAGACAACATCAGTAAGTGTATTTGCTTTTTAGGTGTAGCCAGGTAGTCCTTTAAACTGTTTGATCTGAGATTCTAACAGGTCATAGTAGATCCTGGTTTTGCTGAAGTTTTGCCTGTAGAGCAACAGATCCTCCACTGTAAGAACATCATGTTTGCCTGTCCATACAGTCAGGCTGTATCTGAGAGAGAACAGGTGAGATGTTAAACAGAATCTCATTTACAAGGCCGACATTAAAGGCACAATATGTAAGATTTTTTTATTAAAATATCCAAAAACCATTAGAACAGTTTTATATATTTTGTATACATAATATTTTTTATATACAAAATTTTATATACATTTTTAACTAGTGACACGAACCGTGTCTATAGTGTCATTCTGTCGCCTGCCAATGACGTCATACTAGGGCTGCACGATAAATCTAAATGGAATCGAGATCGTGATTCGACAGAAGCTGCGATTGTCATGTGTATCTTTCAGTGAAGCACGGTTCTGTGATCAGCAGTAAATCTCCATCCAAAGGCCAGAGGGCGCTCTCGCGCTGAAACTTTAAATACGCCTCGCAGAAGAAACCCAGGAAATGCCTATCGCTGCAGCTGAATAAACAGAAGTTTCAACTGCTTTCATTGATTCAACGTGACTAATAAACACACGACTACGGCAATATACGCTTATTATAGTTATATTAATATATTAATATATTATAATATTATAGTTCTTATTATTATAATTTTCATTCAAATAAAGTATATTTATAATGCAATGCCTTTATCACTGCTTAAATACTATGAAATATGTTGCGTGCCTTATTCTGTGTAAGAAGCCACATCATCTCACAGAAGGATTTATTTCAAACACTCGACTGACGTTATGAAGTGAGTTTGGAGTAAAAATATGTTATTAAATGTGGTATTTTCACATGCTTTCAGATGGAGCAGCATTTACTTCACAGAGCCGTAGTTCACTGAGAAGCTATGCAAACAGCTGTCATTATCGCGAACGATTTCATAATCTTCAGAATCACGCAGTAACGCTGTACACAAAGCAGCACTGCGCTCACAAACGCTGCTCTATCAGGCATTACAGGCATGATGAAATGGAAATGAGACCAATTGGACCAATCACCACAGATTAGCGTCACACAAAGGAGGGGTTTGGAAAAATGAATCGTTGAGCGAATCGTTTGGGAGTCCTTGAGCAAGTAAGATAAAAATAAATGCATATTATAAGACAATGAAGGTTTTTTTTTTTGACATTGCATGCATGTTAACCTGTTGTTGGGGACTGCCAAAACCAAAATATGAACCTTTCCTTACCCATAATAGGGGCAATTTAATATGAAAATGTCAAATAATCCAAAGCACAAATAACATTGTCATTAAAGAATTCCATCTATTGATGCTTTTTCATGGTACAATTAAAGAGCATACTTCCCATTCACTTGTCTGAGACAGTTGAAAAAATTTACTTGCACAATTGCCTTTAAAACAACTGTTGAAGAGCAGCACTATCTCTGTAGAGGAGGCTTAAGCCTTCCCTTCACATCCTCTAATACCTCAGAACTGACCTCCAGTAAAGCAATGAGTTGCTATTCCAGTCACACACAAGTGTAATGGACAAGACACAACCAAATTATCCAGCAAGAAATTACTAAGCATTAGAATGAACTTGATTGTGTCCTTGCTTATATAACACAAATCAATCACCGAGGTAATAAAAAGGCTCCTTCACACAGATGTGTGGCTTAATAGCCTCTATAATAGTAAATATGGACATACATTTAAATAGACTGATTATTGGAGAATTTCTCACCGGTCTGACTGCTTCAAGAGCCACTGGAACTGTGGGAAGGACACAGGAAGGAGAGCTGCTCGGACTGGAAATGTGACTGGTTGCTTTAGGCATCTGCATAATTCTTCCATCTGATGAACCATCTCCCAGCTATAACCTATTTCCCAAAACAACACAAACACAGCAAATAATAATCAAGGTCTGAATAATAATAATTGATTATTAAGACTAGAATACACCAAGGGAAGTCAAATCAAAAGGCTGGGGGCAAAAAATAAAAGTACTTTTATTTTCACTCAAGGACAGACCAAACAGATGCTAATAACCACACAACAGTATGTAGCTCATCTGCTTTTCATTGTGATTTTGATTTGATTTAAATGCTAAATAATCTGTGTGTATATACTGCCATTCAGAAGAGATTTTTTAATGTTTTTGAAAAAAAGTTTATTTTCCTCACAAAGATTACAACGTTTAAATTTTCTAAAACGGTTCTCTGTTTAAATATTTATATTATAAAATCATATTTTATTCCTGCTATGGCAAAGCTGAATTTTCAGCAACCATTAATTCAGTCTTAAATGTCACAAGATTCTTTAGAAATCATTCTAATATGCTGATTTGATGCTCAAGAAACATTTCTTACTATTAATGTTGAATACAGGTGGGCTGCTTGATATTTTTATGGAAAATGTGAGCATTTTTTCAGGATTCTTTGATGAACAGAAAGTTAAAACAACAGCATTTATTTTATACAGAAATTACTTTACAGCCTTTACAGTCACTTTTGATCAACTTAATGCATCCTTTCTGAATAAACGTCTCACTTTCTTTACATAAAATAAAAATCTTACTGACCCCAGACTTATATATAGCTCACTTCTGATTGCCAATAAATACAAAACTTTAGTCAACTTAGTGTAGTAACATTCTTACCGGGATTGTCTGCATCTACGTCCCATCCAGTAGTCCAACCCAAAGAGAGAACATCATTTTCTGATTTTTGCGCTACTTCCTGTAGAAACACATGAGGGTCCAGAGGGGTGGCTGTGCCTCTAGGGCCAGGGAGAATATCAGCATTGATCCACACGGGACCCTGCAGCTGATCTCGGACCTCTTCCAGTAGAGTCATGGATGGGGATACAGCTGCGAGACTGTGAATCAAAGTGCAAATCAATGCTGCTGATCTGTCACTCATTCATCAGCAGCAAGGACAGTGTGGGAGAAATCAATCTAAACAAGCAATATGACTAGTGTCAACAGCATTATTAAAATTTAAGAATATAGACGTGAAAAAAAAAAAAAAAAAAAATCAGCCACCTTTTCAAATCCAATTTTATTCCTTTGTCTGATTTCGCAACTTCTTTAAGAAAGTCCTGCAGCGTTATATCACTGTCATTGTCAGGTGGGTGAGCCATAATAGGCACTTTTGGATCTTGACCCCTGAGAAGTACATCTGCTTCAATCATCTGTGCAGAACCTCAATGAAGAACAAAGAGAAGAAAGAGGAAACATCATCATATAACACATTATTTCTTAAGCTCGATCATGATATGGTCGTAAGAAAAACGAAAAGTACTGTAGGAGCAAAGCAAATGCTTCTTCATATTTGTACTCACCTTGTAGAGCCTCTGTGAGTTTGCGCTTACTGTTTACTGCATGATACCACTCGATATCAGCAGCATCTTTTCTTTGTATCGTCCCCTTGTCGAGGAAATATTCCAGTGTATGTTCGCTCATTGGTCCTATGAATATGCAACATACGAATTTACACTGATTCTTTTTCATCTGGACCAATGATAGTATCTGATTGGACAGCTAGCAAGTTAGCTTTCTTACCTTTGGAGTTTGACAGTGAGTGTAGTTTGAGGTAGCAAACGACAAAAGTTGCGATAACTGTTGTACATAAGATAAAACGATACCATTTATGTTTAACTAACCCCATATATTGTTATAAGTAGTTTACTTTTTCGAACATAACATTTACATTACGACAGCTAACTTCCTAAACCGGTAGCATGAAGCATTATGGGATATGTAGTTATTCAGTCCTCTGTATTTCTCGCTTTCACTTTACGAAAAGTACAGTGCCAGTTAAAGGTTTGGTTATTATGAATAATAATTATACCGTTATTAATAACGATGAAAATATGTTTTGAAGCACAATGTCAAATGTTGCAATAAAAGATAGAAGTAAAAAAAGTAGTGCTGTCAAACGATTAATCGCGATTAATGGCATCCAAAATAAGTTTTTGTTTGCATAATGTGTGTGTTCTGTGTATATTTATTATGTAGCTATATATAAATACACACACATAATATATTTTGAAAATATTTACATGTAGTTACATGTCTATATTTATATTCATATAATTTATATTATAAATAAATATATATAAATAACATATTTTCGAAAATATATACATGTATGTGTGTGTATTTATATATACATAATAAATATACACAGTACACATACATATATTATGTAAACAAAAACTTTTATTTTGGATGCGATTAATCGTTTGACAGCACTAAAAAAAGTATTCCCATTCCCTGTGTGAACCATGATATTTACATTTTTCATTTTGTAAAGAAATTTATTCATGGAAACTTTTCATTTCTAAAAAACTAATTTGCAAGCATAAGCTGTTGGAAAAGGTATATAATGTTTGTCCAAATATTTCACTACAAAATTTACAATATCTATTTAGCATTATATAACTGTTGTGAAGCTGTAGAGATAAAAATGAAACGGAGATTGGGGACACATCGTTTTCGTTAGCACTGTCATTCAGCTTAGATTTTTTATTTGTTGGCTTTTGATGCATAGATGAGGGAGGATTTAATTTTATAATCCATTTAGCTGTGCATTATGCATATTAGATCCTATCAACTGGTTAGAATTTTTGGGTATTTTAAGTTCTGTTATTCTAGGTTATTCAGGGTTACCTGGTGTTCTGGTTCATCTTAGGTAATGGCACAAAATATATGAAAATATTGCAGGTATTTGTCTTTTGAATTAATACAACATTTTCTTGTTCTTTTAAACATCTTTATTGTCAGTTTCTTTAATTTCAGTGGAGGGTTGATTTGGTTTGGAGGACTGCTCATCATGAGCTGCAGGGCTGTCAGGAACAGAGAGATGCTGTGATCCACCGCTGTCTGCAGAGCATCTACAGTCTCTTCCTCTGCTCCATTCACTCTCCTCAGAAGCCTCTGTTTTTGTTTTACTGTCTTTGTGTGAGAGGCCCAGCTCCTCTAGCTGCATCTGGAGACGTTTTTCCAGATCTTCAGTGTTTCGCGCCAACATGTAGCTCACCTTCCTCTGATGTGCCAAAGCCTCCTCTTTGTCATTTAACTGGAGAGGGAAGACAACCAAAAAGTAGTCATCTCAAAATGTATAGTGAAAGTATATAGAAACGTATATTAAAATTTTGAACATAGGCCATAATTAAAAGTTTACTGACCAGATCAAGCAGCATATGCAGTATTTCATTTGAATCGGCTGATATCTTTCCTTCGCTTGTTGTGGGCAGAAATTTCTTTAACCTTTCACCTACACTGAGAGACCCTTGCTTCCCTTTCAAATAAAATTAAAAAAATAATTACTAGAAATAAAGAGAGTGGCATTGTAAAATTGTGCCACATGAAACTGCAGTAATGGTGTCTACCAGAGAGAGTACAAGGAAATGATGGACCAGTTGTAGAAATGAGCCAGTGGTCTTACTGGTTAGTGCACTGCTTTCTGTTTTTGGTCCAGAATATGCATTCACATTTTTTTTATTTTGATTTGATTGATTGATTGATTGATTGATTGATTGCATGAGCCAGGTCAATCATCATAAACTAAACCTATTCAAACATTTTTATTAAATGTAAATAAAGCTTAGGATATTACATAAATATTAGATGAAAAAACGTAAACAGTTTGAAGCAGTAAAATTACTGGAAATAAATAAAAACTAATACTTGAACTATAACTAAAACAGAAAATAAAATGAAATTTACAAAATATCTTCATGGAACATGATCTGTCCTTAATATCCTAATGATTTTTGGCATAAAAGAAAAATCTATAATTTTGACCCATACAATGTATTTTTGGCTATCGCTACAAATACACCCATGTGACTTATAGATGGTTTTGTGGTCCAGGGTCACATATATAAATGATACTAAAATAACACAAGGCCCTAACTTGAGCCAAAAAAAAGCACAATTTACGATATCAATTTTGTCAGATTTTATTGCGGATTTTGAATACTTTTTGGAGATTTCTGTGGACAGTTTTAATGAAAGTGACATCTGTTACACTGCATGATTTTTCTCAGTTTTAGCTATACAGGTGAGCAGCACTTTACCTCTCTCATGCCTTTGGTAATGTGGCTGGTGTCTGTCGGTCTCAGCCTGCCGGAGCACGTTCTCACCGACTCTCCTTAACTGCTGCTCAAAGGCGATGCGGAAAGCATCCATCATGACATAAGCCTCCTCCTTCCTCTTCTGCTGCTCCTCCAGCTAATGCAGACAAATGCATTGTGTTACAAGACCCTCAAAGACAAATGAGCAAAGCCAGCGCTGTAATGGATTTAATACATGTATTGGCTAAATAGGAGGGTTAATTTGCAAAGTAATGGAACAGAAGTATTGACAAATACAAGACGAGCACCTCTTGCTTGAGCTGGAGAACCTGTTTGCGACTTGCAGCAGCACTTCTAGCACAAGAGCATGGCTTGCCCCCATTAGAGTTACACTGACATGCCCCATACACTGCCAGCTGAGAGATAAGAGGACAGAGAGCGGTTTAGTCCAGAACAAAGCTGTTTAACACAGACTACAATTAATCAACATTACCTCTAGTGCCGAACCGTCTGTTCTCAGGCTGCATGGAGGCTGGGTCCTCTGGTAGTCCCTTCTTTCCTTAGCACTGAGCATGGACAGGAGCTCCAGACATTTTTGGCTCAGAGCTAAGACACGAAATGCAAAATTATGCACTGGAAACAAACCAGCAATTGGGTCGTGAAATAAATGCAAGAAATATGATGTGACTTACAAGCATTCTCTGTCCTTTGCTCCTGATGCTCTCTCATTTTCTCCTCTAGTGCTTTCTTTAGGGCTTCGTTTTCTGCCAACACCCTGAAGTGGTATAGACATGAACCAGTGACATGTGGGCATTTTTAAAGTGACATGAATTTAAAACAGACCCCATTTATATAACAGACTCTCAATATGTAGTTTGAGTCTTATTGGGAATGTTATTAAAATAGACTTTTTTTAATCAAAATGGTTGTGGATAGCATTTCACATTGACCTTTTAGTAGGGATGAAATAGCGGCAAATCTTTTCTTCTGTATCATCAGAGAGAAGACTGTCGTTTTTGATTCATGCCAACTATAAAAGTGTCTTTTTGCATGCATATACCTCTCATACTTTAAACTCCATGAGTTTTCCACATTCTTGAACTGCACCTGGTTGAAAGTGATCTCCCATTGCAGTGCATTAAGCTCCTGTGTGGAAAAAAATTCAAAGAAATGAGATCATATTTGTGCCTGCATTAAAAATGATTAAAAGCGGTTTAGTTATTGTTTGAGTAGGACACCTTTTCTAGGGCCTTGTTCCTCTCTTCACTCTTCTGAAGCAATATTTTAGTATGACAAGTTGCTTTGTCCAAGATTGCCTTAAAGGACAAAATGTAGCACAGGGCTTTAAACCACTTCATAAATGACCTAATTAGACCTAATAATTATATTAATCATCAAAATATTTTGAAATACCTGTCCTTGCAAGATCCTAAGAGCTTCATGTTTTCCCTCCAGTTGGCGATGAGTGACCTCCAGTTCTGTGCGTAACAGCTCCACTTCCTGATATGGAGCGAAGATTTACATACACCTGAGGCATGTTCATATGTGAAGATGTATATCTTTTCTTTACTCCATTCAAAAACTCACAGGGGTGCTACTTTTCTTCAGCTTGTCCTCTATTGTGTAAGACATGGAAAATATTTTGTTGGAAAGTCTCATTAGTAAGTTTACCTCTGTGACCTCCTGTAGTCTTCTCTGCAGCTCTTCACTTGTGTCCTCAGAAGAGCTTTCTACAACAGAACGCAGTTAGATGTAAAATAATAAGACACTTTTGTTTTTTGCATGTCAGCACATGGTTTTCTAGGTTTGCCAACACATCATATCCTGGTGGTAGTGTGGTTCTCAAATGACTATTGTTGAATATTTGTTTAAGTACAGAATTGCTCAAGGGAGTACACAAAGTTTCCTTCCTGATAAGAAACAGCAGGTGTTGACTTCACCAAATACTGCAAATCAACAGAGCATGCACAGTAAAACCCCCTGGTCGGACATTACCAGGAAGTTATCATAATTAAAGACATTAAAACTGAAGTCTATGTAAATATCATGTTTGACAGTCAAAACAGAAGACATGGAGCTCGATACTTTCTGTGTAGCTTACTGGTGGTGGTTAAAGCAAAACGAAACTTTTATCGTTCCTAGAAAGTAGAAGTTAGAATAATAAGGTAAGACAATAAAAATATAACCATTACAAACCTTTACGAAAAGTTCAACCTTGAGGGGTCGTATTTCGTTAACAAGAACAACGACGAAATTCCACTTCAAGACTTTCCGCTGACGAAGTGAAACTAGTAAAGGGGCGTGTCTGACCCAACAGGTGCTTTATTACAAAAGTACACACTATAGATCGTGAAATATGTCGCTCTAGTGTTACAGTTCCAGGGATCCCCAATAAGATAGTAGCAAAAATAACCTTCATGAAAATCATTCAGGAAAGCTACTAGTATTAATTCCTTTCCCATTTTGAGTTTCCACTAAACCAATAAAATAGAACAAGGATAGATGAACTGTAAAAAAATAAAAAGATTGTTTCTTTTAACCATCATATATAAAATTGAATAAAAATAGCAATACGTTGTATACAAATGTAACCACATTTACACACCTAAAATATACAGATTTTAAAACATACAAATACATGACACATACCTTTCCACTGACTCCCTGCTGTATCTTCAGCACCCCAGCGACAGTAACAAATATGGATTCAGAGATTTAATAACTAAACAAACAAATAAATAACAAAACAGCCATCAAAGTTGCAAACATTGATTTATTGCAGTCACTTATTTGACTGAAGTGTAGATTATCTACTTCTCAGTCTCACAGCATTGTTACACCGTGACAACATAAAAAATGAATTATGGCTGTAAATGGTCATACTATGTTCTATTTTTAGAGATACTTTCACTAATATCCTCTGGATTTGGCCAATCACAACGCACTGGATAGCTGGCTAATCAGAGCACACCTCGCTTTTCAGACCGATTAGTTTTGTAAAAATCGACGCGTTTCAAAAAGGCGGGGCATAGAGGAGAAACAATAATGTACAGTATGTGGAAAATAATGTTTTTTTTTCAACTTTAAACCGCATAAACACATTTCATTACACCAAATACACAAAATAATGTTCTTTTTAGCAGCATCATATGACCCCTTTAAACCATTTGAGAAATCTTTCAAATGCAATAATACTTCAAAGTTGTGTTTATCTCACCTTCCAGGAACCCTCTTTTGAGAAAGAAGGCCAACATTCTGGATGAAGGCTATTTGAGCTGATATGAGAAAGATGAAAAAAATATATTAAATAGAACAAATAGACAAAGCTGAATTATGTATGAGGAGAAATGCACCATTCATTTTTGACCAAAGTCTAGCATAGTTGTGTAGGAGGCAGGAAAATAATAAATATTGAACTTGAAAGATTATGGTATGCAGTTTGATTAAATTATTATTTTTTTTGAATAAATTTAATTGTGTATTTGTATATTTTGTGAATGCTAAGGTCACATATTCACCTTGATTTCTCATTGGGTTGGTGAGCTTTGCAAGGTAAGGCACCAGTTCTGTCAGGAGGCTCACAGGAGTAAGGCAGAAATTTAAGAAGAGCGACTGTGCGGTCAGGTAATTCTCTCGATACTATCACAAAACCAGGATTAAAATATATCAATATGATACATTAACAATTACTTACAATGCTGAATAATACAAGTACAACAGATAGATAAAGTAAAAAATAAATATACCATCTTGTTTATGTGTAGCCAATGCGGTTTATGAAGAGGCCTGAATCTGGCATTGGACTGGCTGCTAGCTTGTGCTCGAGAAGAGTTTGAGTGCATAAGGCCTCTAGTGGCCACTGATGAGCCATATTCCAACATAGTCGACCTTGACTGTGAAAAGTTGAACACCATTTCAACAAAAAGTTGTTGCTAAGATACTACATAATGATAGTCCTCAGAAATCAAATGTTACATCTTAGAGCAACCCTGCATATCCCTATGTGTGTTATTATGGAAGTCCAATAGCATTTGCACTCACGCTCCACTCTGCTGTCAGGAAGTCTGCATCAGAGAGGTACTCGCTGGCTCGTGCTATATCCTCCACATCCGAAAAGAAGTCAGGGTAGTTCTGATGCAGGAAGAGGTTGAAGAATTCCCCAGACATATGGGAACGCTCAATGACAAGCTGAGGAAAATATCATAATCAAAAGATTGTTAGAACATTAAAGCAGATGAAACTTTTTTTATATAGTGCAATTTACAACATAAATTAATATTTACTTCAGGATCAACAAGTAGTTTGTCCCTCTGATGATCTGTTAAATGTGAAGGCAGCTTGGGTGCTTGAGAGCTTTCATAGCTTTCACCTAAAAATCACATGCCATCCATTGGTATAAATATGAATGAATTTACACAGTTCATGATGTACAACATATCATAGTAATCGGGAGAAAAACATTTAAAAATGGGAGTTGAAAACGACTAACGTTTGCAGTAGAGGATTTTCCCTAAAGCTCTGAAAAGGAAAAGTGAAGCATCTTTCCCTCCAATAGCTTGGCTTTCAACCTGCATGTCTGTTGATTTTGAAGACTTGCTCCTGCCCTTTGCCCTCACGACAGGTTTTGCTGTGGATTTGCCCTTCTTGGAAGCCCAGAGTCTTTTCTCCAGACAACTGTCTGAGAATCGAAAAGAATGAATGCATAATTACAGCTATAAACTTATTTTAAAGAATGACAGAATAAATTAATTCTATATACTATATAAATAGTTTCAGTGGCTATTTTCTCACCGGTAAATGAAGAAAACTGCAAGCTGTTGATGGCACTGCGAATATCTCCTGAACTTCCTGAGCAAAGAAGATCTAGAGCACCTTTATCAGGAACAGAGATCCTGCCAGAACTCTGCAAAGACCATTTAAAGATACAGATATGCTGAGTGAAGTATTATGGATCTCGGGGTCAAAACTATCTGCTCAGAAGGCATAGAAAAGCAAACCACACAACCTACCTTTCCTGCCTCAATGGTTACAATGCGGCTTAGGACCTTCATCATACTGGTGGGGGCCACAGGGTTAAAACTGAACAAAAGAGATGCTTTACCTATGACGACCTTGGGTTCGAATATTTTTAATTCTGAAAAATTACATTGGTTGTATTTGTACCTAATGCTGTGAATTTCAAGTTCATGCAGAACATCCTTAAAGAGAAGTCTGGAGTTCTTGTCCCCGCTGAGACTATCGGACACAATCAGGACCAATGGGCACCGGCCAGTCTTAATAAATTGCCTAAATGAACAAGCAAAAATAAGGACAATGATAATCAAGATACCAGTGACAACTAATTATTAACAATACTTCAAAATATAGTACTAGAGCTCACCTGAGTATATCGTGCAAGCACCCTGGTTGCCTATAGAACTGGTTTGGAAATTCCTGAGATAAAACAAGAAACAATGGAAAAGTGTCACTCAGCTTCTCGATTTTAATTTAGCATTAATGTTCAGTTTCTCATCAATTTCAAAATCAATTGCATTTTACTAGCCCAACTCTTTCTCTTTTGTATAATGTATTTCAGATTTATGCAAAATAGCACAAAGTGTGTTTTTCAACATCATAGTGATATTTTTGAAGAGCAGTTCTGTGCAACACCTCTATAAGAATTATTTTCCTGTCTTCAGTCACTTTCTCTCCGCTCATTTGTAGACGGCTGTATTTGTTGGCTCTTAGCAGGAACTCTTGGAATAACCCTGTTTGTGAGCTGCCATGGAAACTGTTAAACCTTGAATCTGTTAGAATAAAAAGGTCAGAGGAATAAGCTAAAAAAAAACATTTCATAATATACAGAGAGACTGAGACATTACTTCATCCATATATGATTCTGATATGTGATAAAAATAGGGGTGCTAAATAATTATCATTGACTAGATATTACGCATGGTGTCACAACATGAACATCAGTCACGACTAGTAAGAAGAAGACTCCTGACCTGGATCAAAGCTTTGTGTGAACAAATCCTCCGCTTTGTACTGAGAGGTGGTGGAGGGATTTGACCACTCTTGGATCTGAAACCCCAAATCCTTGGCAAGGACTCGGACAGTTGCCGTCTTCCCACATCCTGAGGGGCCAGTGAGCAACAGAATGGCACCACCCTGTGGAGCAATAACCACAAATACAACACAGAGTATAAAAAACAATCCCCAAATGACTCAATAAACATACATCTCCCAACATACAGTACGTCATGCTTGTCAGACCTTTTTTGATTTGTCCAAATTAACTCTCAACCAGGTTTCAACTTCTTCAACTTTCTTTTTGTGGACTGCCAGTTCGGCCTGTCAGAAAGAAAAAAAAACAAGCATTTAAAGCAACAAAGCTTGTAGATTGAGATAACAGCGATATGAAAATGTTAAGTAACAGACGAATGTGTTCTTAGTAGCACAATCTACCTCAGAGTAAAATAGTTTGTATGACCTAGACTAGAGTACTCAGCCCTACTGTATGAAATCTAATCAAACTCATTGAAATTGTCATAAGCTAGCTTTACTTCAGTCACACACCTAAAAGTGTTAGAGAGGCATTGGAACTAAATTTCAGGAAGGTAAATTTTCTAAGAACTGTACGAAGCACCCCCTGGGCCACACAATTTCTGTACCTGCGATTGGGGAGCATACATATCCACCCAAGGCTCATCCTGGTCTGGTTTATGTGCTTCACTTGACACACTGATCTGGTTGCTGGACACATGAGAATCTACTTTCCTCTTCCTGGATTTTTTCTCTGCTTGGTTCCCAGTAGATGGCCACCGGGTAGTTTTGCTTTCCCCTGAGAGTGGCCCCTTTTTCAGGGACCTGTTCACTCCTCCCAAAAGTTCACCAAATGATGGTTCCACCCAGCTGTTTATCTTAACAGGAAATACAAGCAGAACACATATAGTACATCAGCATCAGTAGATTCAGAGCATCCTCATTCATTCTCAGAGTGCAGAGGATCGTTTTGGATATGAAAAAAGAAAGAATGATCAAGATGTTACATACTTTTCCAGAGGACTGCTTTCCTCCCAGAGACAGCTTTGACATCGTCAATTCTGACGTCCCATTCAGTTACTCCATGCAAAACTGTGCTGGGATGAAAACCAAATCATTTACATAATTTATAAAACGGCAAAGATGGGATTCACCTCTGCGAGTTTACGAGAGGAGGACAGTAAGTTAGTAGTAAATGTTAGTATAATTAGTATAATTTCGACTATGTATAATCACAAGTGGAGCAAACTTTACTATAAAACATGTTTTAGAAGAACTCGTATACCAGTAATCCAGACATTTAATAAAAGCGTTATCCGGAATTTTGGCCAAGTTTATTAATCAGAGTTCAGAAAGTTCGCTCCTGACCGTTAGCTCGACTTAACGAATGCTAGCAGTCATTGTCAAGTTATCAGGCCAAATCAACCAAACCGTGGCTAGTACACTGTTTAGGCAATACAGTATAAACTTACCCTGGTCATCTCTACAGAGGATCTTTGTAGAACAACAATGTCGACTATTTGTGTTTGCAAGTAACAAGTAACATTGTGCTAACTATCCCTTTAAAGCTGTGACGAACCGCCCCTCAGCTGGCGCATACTGATGACGTCATCAAACACGCGCCGCCACAATTTTGAACACGTTTTTATGTTGATCTATGCTCTGACAGGCACATCATAAGATATGACCAACGGATTATTTACATATCATATGTTTTTGTATGCTTATTGATACTGAGCATCCAGCAGAGATTTGTGGAAAACGAGCTGTGTTATTAATTGCATTATTTCCACGTGTGATACCTTGCAATGAGGATCATGAAGAGACCAAACATTCTTCTTACAGGTAGTCTACATTTTATTAGGTTGTTCCTAATAAAAATGTAGTTTGAATGTATTAAGTAGGTATAGCAATGATCAAAAATGCTAGTAATAATAATAAAATGATGTTTTTTCATGATTGCTAAACATTGATATGCTTCCTCATGAACGGACAGGAACCCCTGGTGTAGGAAAGACCACTCTAGGCAAAGAGCTGGCTCAGAGAACAGGACTAACCTATGTGAATGTTGGTGATTTGGCACAGGAGGGTAAGTTAATGTTCTTTGAAATAAAAGTTTGTTGTTTATTTTTAAGAATTAGTTAAAAAATATATATACTTTTTCTCTTTAGGTCAGTTGTTCGAAGGATTTGATGAAGAATACCAGTGCCCTATATTGGATGAGGACAGGGTATGTACTATTGTAATGGATCTAATTGTTCCCCCTTTAATTGGATGATGTAGTCACAGAATTTGTACAGTGTAATCTTGAACAAAATACATTTTATAGTGTTTTATTAGATAGGGGTATGGTATTCAGCAGGTTATTGAATCCGCACTGACCACCATTTAAAAGCAAATCCAACAGGCTGCACATAATAAAACAAAATGTTAAAGACAATTTAATTGTTTTAGGTTGTGGATGAGCTGGAGGACAGAATGGGAGATGGAGGCGTGATTATTGATTACCATGGCTGTGATTTCTTTCCTGAACGCTGGTTTGACATTGTTTTTGTCCTCCGCACAGACAACACCAATCTCTACAATCGTCTTGAAAGCAGGTTTGTGTTCATAACAGTTAACAGTAATGTTCATTACATATGTGATATTTCAGTTTAGGCCTTTTTGACTACTTTCTTTATCTTTAAAATAGATCTGGGATGAGCAACACCGCGAACATTTGAGGAATTATTATTATTTTTTTAAATCATCCTAAGGCAGATAAAAGTTCCCCTTATTGGAGAAGAATTTATATAGCATATTCAGACAATCTTAGTGATTAAGGGCCTAATGTACAGTTCAGCAGTCATTTACGTACTGTGTGGCTGTATGCTTCCTGTTGCTGTGATTTAAAAATATATATATATCTTTCATATTCAGAGGATACACAGGAAAGAAGCTCCAGGACAATGTGCAGTGTGAGATTTTCCAGACTATCTATGAGGAAGCCATGGAAGCCTACAAGGAGGAGATAGTCCACCAGCTCCCCAGTAACACTCCTGAGGACCTGGAGAGGAATCTGGAGCAAATTGTTCAGTGGAGTGAACAATGGATGAAAGACAACAATTGACATGAGACATTATATGTGAAAGGCTCAAACACTTTTTGAGTTCATGTCAAAGTAGACAGACATCACATTTCATAGTTATTGTTCCCTTGCTTCCAAAATGAATGAATACAGTATTTAAAAGAGCCTCTTTCTGTTGACTAGTTTTATTTTTTTGATTAAATTATCAAAGAAAAATTTACATTCTTTGATAAATGATTGTTTAGCTGCCACCAAATACCAGAAACATTTTACATCTGTTAGTAAGTGGAATTTAGAATCAAATCTAATTCACAAAAATAATGGTAAATTACATAGGTGTTTCTCCTCAAAAGATGGATCACAAGTACATAATTAGTTTATACTTAACATAATTAGATTAATTTGGCAACTCTTAAACGTAGCTACACTGTCTTATTTCTAGTCGGGAAAAAGTCACTCATGATGGAGAGTCAGTTTTATTCACTTTTCATCAGTCATTTAAAATCGCCGTTTCTATTTTTGCTTTATAGTTTTATTTTCTCTCTTATTCTCTCCTTTAATGCTCTATCAACAATCAAACCATCATATCTACTTCTAAAATTCCTGGATGATCCAGTCCCTCTGGCATATCATCAAGTGCAAGGATAAAAATAAATCTGAGAATAATGAAAGAAACTAAGATTTATGTTGCCTCAGGTTGGTGCTGTGCAATAAATTGCTTTTTTTTTTTTTTTGCAAATTCGAAAAGACGGCAAAAAAATGCAATTCAAATAGACTGATCCCTTGTAATTGGAATAAGGTGGCCACTAGGGATGTGCATCTCATAACTCAGGCCGATACGATATGCATCTCGATGCATAATGATACGATGCATTAAAGATACATATGAAGCAGCTACCATGCTTGGGAAACTAACCTGGTCTAAAGCAGGTTAACTATCAGACTAAGCCGAGTTCCTCTAACACTGACCAATAGGAACGCTATTATTTGACTCTTTTTTTTTTTTTACAGTAGCCAAGCAGAAAGGCTCTCTCTGGTTTTATGACAGCTGTAGGCTACCTTTGCAGAACAGATAGCAGAACAGAACATTACAATCAAAAATGGCTCTTTAAAGCATTAAAATAACTAAATTAAAAGTTAAAATCACTGAATTAAAATGAAAATAAATAATAAAGAAAATTACTTTTAAACTGCTATAAGAAGCACACATTAACTCATTTGAGTTTAGTATTTAGTACTGAACTAGCTTACATTTGATTTACCCATTACAATAGTCCCTCTACAGTTACTGCTATCATAAAAATACACTTATATGAAGGTTTAAAATTCTACAAAAGGCACATTTAATGTCTAACAACAAATATTTTAGCAAAATGTATATTTTACTCAGAATTATTGCGCTCCTATTAGATTGCGCTCAGTCTGTTTAGCGCGCATGCGCGCACCAGCGCTCCTTCACTCGCGTAAATCTCGCCCACCCCTGACAGCAAAATGGAAATGAATATACAGATTATACATGAATATACAGATTAAAAATATACTTGTGACATATCAGTTATGCACTGAGGAAAACACAACGTCTCAAATGCATTAAACAGCACAGATAGCCTATATTCGCTGTTTGTCATGGTGGATCGATTTGAGCCATGATCGACATTCTGTTTAAGAATAATATAAGCATATATTTATGTCTATCTGAGTTAGTTTGGGCTCAAAACATAAAAGCTGCAAAGAGTTTAATTGGCAAAAAACCCGAATGTCTAATGAATGTGAAACGTCAAACTAACTTTACCGCCGTTTAAGAATAAGCGTGCACAAATTAGTGAGATTGTGTGAACTTAATTTGTCGTTTATGGAACCGCTTTAGCCCCGATTGATTTGTTAGGTTATTTCAAGTTAGGTTTCGGACTTTAATCCCAGTTTTTTCTCGGGTCTCCGTGGTGTTGTGATGCGTCATATTCACGCGCAGCGGTGATGAGAGCGCGCGCTTGACAAACAAATACATAGATCACAGATTATTGGTCACTTTCTAAATAATAAAAGTATAGTGCGTCCACTAGTAATTATATATAAATAAATCGGTTTTTACCGATGCAAATATGTTAGAAACGATGCATCGTGATACAAATGCCGACTTGTAGCCGATATACACTTTTTAAAACGATGCACCGCATCGTTAACTTTTTATGCCGATGCACCGAGCGAATCGGGCAATCTTCCCATCCCTAGTGGCCACATTAACAATATTCAGTGAGTGATTAACATTAAGAAATGTAAAATTCTCAAATTATGTTAGGCTGCTGTGTTTTGCCTAATCTTACCAGTAGCCTTTTATTAACCGTTTATTTGGTCATTAATGGCCTTTTGTACATACACGGTACAGTGAACAGTGCCATCCTCTAAAAAAACACACAATTTGTGTTGATAGATCAACTGATTTTTCATAATGAAGTGTTTCATCGTTTTCTTGTCAAACTGGTTTGTATCGTGACATCACACACTGGGGCAGGACAAGTCACGTGATCGATTCCCCTTCACCTGCAACTGGCGGAAGACAGGTGTAAGTATCGGTACCAGGTAAGACGGCGATGTTTTTTTTTAAAATAAAATCTATATTTTTAGGCAAAAATACGTAGTCTACACACCCACATCTTGAGTGTAGAGAATGAATAAGCTCGTACAGTGCAAAATTAGTTCGTTTATTCATTTAGGATGACTTCAGGGCTTGTATGCATATAGTTCCGTTTTATTTCTTACGTTCTTTGTTGACAGGCTGGTTTCAAACCGCGTTAAGATCATGTCATGCAACGCATATTTTGTGCCATCGTTTCTATAAAGTCACATTTTTGCTAGATTTTTAAACTCGCTTTTAAGCTTGTTTGACCAATGTGTAACTCGCTTGTTTATTTGTTATTTCAGGTTGTTTTGTAAGGGGAAAAACACGGTTTTAAATTCACCCTGTGAGGCAATGTAACTACCGCACCCAGGTAAAACAGTTACTGAGAGTTTTGTAGTATACAGTATGCAATGTTTTTATGCACATATCAGAATTTTAATTGTGCATTTTCATAGTGTAGATCATAACGTTGTAGTTCCTACATTGACCAAAATATTTAAAACAATTGATTTGAATGGTTAAATGTAGTATAAATAATATTCACCATGTTGGTTATAATAGGCAATGGCATAACCGTAATAAATTGGCTTATTAATATCCGATAGAATTTAAATATCAATCAATCCTTACTTTTATGTTTGTAAAAGATGTGCAAATGGCATGATGTCTGTTTGTATGTGACACAAGACACTATAATAATGTGAATAAACTTTCTGATCCTCAGTTCGCTCAGCTGCTAGAACCATTCCCATGTCTTTTGGAAACGGGTCAGCGTCCCGCTTTGATCGGGTCCGCGATATGCCTCACTATGATCAGGTGCCCATCGGCTCACTGCCGTGGGGTCAGCAGCCTCCTTACCCACTCGGCAGTGAAATGGCAGCATCTAGTTATGACAGTTTACCACCACCGCCTCTCCCCGAAAACCCTCCTGTTGGCCCAGATTTCTACCCGAGTGATGTTGAAGACCAGGTGGATGATGCCATGGACATCAAACCCGTCCGACGCTTCATTCCTGACTCTGTGAAGAACTTCTTCAGAGCCAGTGGCAACCAAGGCAGCAAGAAATGGACCTTTCCACCACCACCACCTGATGTGAACACCACCACCGAAGGCGTCCTGTGCTCTCCTCCACACTCACGTGCACCCTCACCTACAGCCCCCAGCTCTTACCTAGACCCTTATGGAGGGTCTGGAGGCAGCTACAATTCAAGGAAGGAGCAGGCAACGTTATTAGGGGAGCCGCTGGAATCGGTTTCTGGACGCTCTTTGCAGACGGCTATGACTTACAGTGAGAAGGTGGAGGAATACAATCAGCGCTACGCGTATATGAAGTCCTGGGCTGGTCTTTTGCGCATTTTGGGATGTGCAGAGTTGCTTTTGGGGGCTGCTGTTTTTGCATGCGTCTGTGCATACGTGCACAAAGATAATGAGTGGTTTAATATGTTTGGTTACTCCATGCATCAGATGTCTGGGGGTATGTATGGGGGAACATCAATGGGTGGGATGTACGGAGGAACTGGAATTTCCTACTCGGGACCCTTGACTCCTTTTGTTATTGTGGTGGCTGGAGTGGCCTGGATAGTGACTGTCATTCTAGTAGTGTTAGGCATGACCATGTATTATCGTACCATTCTACTAGACTCCAGCTGGTGGCCAATCACAGAGGGTGTGATAAACTTGGTGTTAGCGTTGCTCTACTTGTCAGCTGCAATTGTGTATGTGCGAGACACAGTGCGTGGAGGTCTCTGCTATTATCCACATTTCAACGCTGGGCCCAATGCGGGGTTTTGCCGAACAGAGGCTGGACAGAATGCTGCCATCATCTTCCTCTTTCTCAACATGCTGTTGTATCTCGTGGGAGCAGGCGTGTGTCTGAAGCTGTGGAGACATGAAGCTGCAAGGATGCGCAGAGAGAGAATGGGTCTAGATGTAAAGTTCAAATTATTTGTTCTTTGAAATTGATTAACATAAAGTGAAAAATAATGCTCATAATGATTTTGCTATTTTAGTAATAGCAGTAAATTATCTCAAGCGTAGCTAACAAAGTCTAATTTGCTTGCTTTTCTGTTCTTATTCGTATTTAGATGAAATCAGAAGGACTTCCGCTCAATATGGTAAGCCGTTGAATTTTAATATTAAGAAGAACATTTTCAGATTTTAAAATCACTGTTGTAATGTACTATTTGTAATCTCAGATTGGTGCCGGCTCAAGTGTCTCTGTGCCCATCCAAACCGCTCCAGTAATGGCCAGTCCAGACTCTTATGATGGCACTCCTGCCAACCCAGTTATGATGGAACCAGAGATCTTAAGGGGTCATATTCCTGCTGGCCACATCCCCAAACCTGTGGTCATTGCAGACTATGTGGCGTGAGTTTCAAAGAATACTTCTGTTAACTGAAATCAGTTAATTAATTCTGGCAACTTCATGAAATATATAAACTCGATTTTAATGAAGTTCAGACACTAGCCACATATTTAGGACTGGTTATTGTTACCTCATGCCTTTTTTAATCTCTTATCCCTTTTGCATCTGAATGTTCGGTCTAATCTTTCTCCTCACAGGAAATATCCCACAATCCGGTCTGATGAGGAGAGGGAGCGATACAAGGCTGTGTTCAATGATCAATATGCAGAATATAAAGAGTTGCATGCTGAGGTTCAGGTCTTAACGCAGAAGTTTGAGGAAATGGATAATCTGATGAGGAATCTACCACAGCAGCCTTCCAGTCAAATGGTAATTGTTTGAAACAGCAAATTCTTTCATAATTATTATACTTATATTATTTGAGAAACTACATGGAAATATTTGTAATTGAAAATTCGTTTGTGACCATTAAAATGAATTAGATAAGACTCAAAGATGATTAAAACCCTGTGACCAATCACAGTACAATTCCTTTATACATTTGTCTAAATACATTTCTCTAAAATCTTTGTATTGAAACAGAAATATTTTAGATATTAATCTTGGTTTTCCTCCCACAGGAGCAAGAGAGAATCAATAGCATTATTCAAGAGTATAACAGAAAAAAGGCTGTAAGTACTGTTTAATACTGTTATCTATCTATTCTACTTCTAGGAGTTTTAAAGTAATACACAGAATACATGTTAGGTATTTTACTTTTCCCAGAAAAGCTAAGCCGTCATGGTTCTACAAGTTTCTTTGACCCATTTCAAAACCTTCATCTGCCTGTTGCCTTTCTTCATTCTTTAGTCTTTGCAAAAGAATGACATAGTATCTGTCTCCGTTTGAGTGCCACAAACAATAGAAACTGAAAAACTGGAAATGTTAGGGGGACATAAATGGAACTATTGAAATGTTTACGTACTTCCTGTGTGTGTGTGAGTGCACGCCAAAGAATACTTTACGTGTTTCTGGTTGTAGGACCCGACATACCAGGAGAAAAGGGAGAGATGTGAATATCTGAAGAGCAAACTTGCACACATAAAGCAGAAAATTCAGGAGTATGACAAAGTAATGGACTGGAATGATGGTTACAGCTAAACAGAACTCCATTATACTTTCTTCAAAGAGGGTCCCAGAAAAGAAACAACTGGCCGAAAGAAAACTGTCCATGGCTATAACTTCAGGAATTAATGGAGTTTTGGTTTGGTCTTGGTTGGTATTGAAATAATTTCATATTGAATTCAATAGAGCAGGAAAGTCCAGTGAAGGACACCTACCACTTTAAACCCAGCAGTGAAAATGTCACCTTTATTACTGATATATCATGTGGAGCAACATCAGCAATGTTTTGATCATATATATTATATATGATATACCGTATATTTCTATATAAATGTTTTATTTTAGAAGTAGGTAATTTGAAGGAAATCACTGGAGTCTTTGAGTCGTTTAAATAGCAGTATCTCTATAATGATCCTAAATTGCTTGGTATATTTATAGTTTTCCTAGTTTAATTTTCACTTTTTGTGTGTTTTATACTGTACAGTCATGTGTGAGTTATATGTACATTTTTTATCACCATGTCCATCTACCTTCGATTTCATTATTTTGTAATTGATATTGGAAGTAGATAAAATAAACAGGCCTGCCTCCACATTGTACTGGCAAGCATTTCCTTTTTGACAAAATGATGAACTAGTAGTTTATACGCCGAGATACATACCGCCTCTCATGTGTCTGTTTATACTTTAACACGCTATACTACATGGCTCTGAGCATTATAGACCTGCTGTTGTAAAGTACCGGTAATATACACTTATACTGGCTTGACAGTATTGAAGGTATCAGGTTACAAGCTGCAATTGACCTCAGGATGAAAAGGTGCTCATACAACCTTATGCCTCATGAATATTGAATATGGTGTGTAATAATCTAGAACAATCCTGCATTAATCATTGTTATTGTTTGTATGGCAATTTATGGTAACTGAAACCATGATTACAGGTCTGAGCCATATGTTGCACTAAGGAGAGACTGGCAATTAGCAAAGCACTTACGAACAACTTGCTTATTATTTCTAATTAAATGATAACTGGAGTGGATTTTAAAGATACCTCCCAGATTACAAATTCGTGATTTGAGCAATCAGAAATTCCATTGGTCTTAATACATCTCTTGCAATTTATGCGTATGTTTTCGTATTAGCTATTACAGGCGTCTAAAATCTTTTTCCTTTGGTGTAGAGATGGAGCATAACATGATTATTAAGCATTTAATTACTGGATATTTTCTATGAATGTGGTACACGTTGGTGTTTTATGATACATATTTTTAAAAGCATTAGAGACAGAAATAACAGTAATTGTTGTCTAAACTACTAGTTTACTCTAGTAAAAAATTATCTAACAAAATTAACACAGCCTGAATTTTTTTGCAATGCTATAGACGATATGTATTGTGAAAGTAGCGATGCAAATAAACCTGGCTCGTCTTGCGTCCGTGAAGTCGGCACCGTGCGCACACGTTCAGGGCGGGGCTGCACCTGTGCAGGTGAGGACGGGAGGAGGCTGGTTTCACTGATGTGAGAGAGAGGGCAGATCTATCTATCAAACTCTCGGTATTCAGCGGGCGTTTCCTGAAGGCTGAGCGTTTTGTAGGTCCGTGAAATACTCCTGTACTGAGCGAGGAAGGGTTACAAACTATTTACCAGATTTGACTGCTTTGGTAAGGAAGAAGGGTGAGTTTCCGCGATACGGTTCATTTATTTTCTATTTTGTAATTTGTTTTTAAATATACTTAGCTGAATACTGTAACCTATTGCAGCCTATGTTGTTGATTGTTGTGTGTACTAATACGCAGCGGAACTACGTTGCGCGGAACTAATTTTAGAAAATGTAAATAGTTGTAGGCTATGCTAAGCTTCTTCTTTGTGTTTTTTTTTCTTTTGACAAGCATTATTTTCTCCAGACCTTCGTAATGTGGTTATTCGTGTAAAATTCCAGGTGTCAGGTGTCCTAATTCTGAGAATATTTTGACGTTTTTTTTTTTTTTCCCGAATGTACACAAGCTGAAGTACTGATGTAGCCTACTGATTTTTTTTTTTCACTTGACCTCAAACGTTGATCTAATATTCTCATGTTTCTTAAATGAAAGCATGCTAGAAATCTGCAACTTATCCATACACAAAATTAATTAAATAAAAGTACAGTGATAAGTTGTTTTGCTACAACCTACTGCCACCAGGCTGTGATGTAACTCTAATTGTAAGCAACTGGACACATTTGAATTCAAACCAGTAAAAATAATTGAAAACAAAAATAGAAATTCATAAAACAGACTGAAAACTCTAAAAACGGTTTTAATCTCACAATCATATATTGAAAAGCATTACAATGGTCAGCCATATTTTTAATTAAAATGAAATAAAGATTTGAAATGAATATATAAGTAATCAATTTTTTTTATCCTGAACATTATTCTAGTGGTGATGATAGTGATTTTATACTGTATATCTTACTGATATATATACTGTTGGTGTTACAGGACAACACCTGGTCCCTTTTTACAATTATGTAAAAAAACGAATCACATTCTGATTGCAGAGCCATTAATAACTGTAATGTAAAAAGCCACTTTGTATCTTAAGTTGTATCACCATCCCTGTATCTAGATTAGATCAAGGTCTGGGTTTTTGGTTTTATTTCCTCAACAGTGCATTATTATATCACATTGATTCATCAATTATGTTTTTTCATTCTTACGTTAGATTTCACCCAGATAACCCTGTGAAGTTTGTCCAGGAAACTAACATCATGCCGAAAAAATCAAGTCGGCCTCATGCATATGGTGGCAGACAGTAAGTTGCATATTAGAGAAAGCATGTAATCATCCATTATCAGTACAAACAAGTTTTCTTTATTGACCTTTTACTGCCTCATCGTAATGGTGTTATGACCTGAGCAGTATTGTTTTAGTACCATTGATGTATATTATTATAGTTTTTGTTAATATTTTGAATTTTTATTTTCTATTTTTACTTTAATTTTAGTTATGTGTATATATATATATATATATATATATATATATACAC